TCTTAGTCCAAAAATGAGGTTTTCTGAGAAGTAGTTAGAGGTCTGTAGACAGAAAGTGAAGACAGTATGTTGTTACTTCTCCTCCCAGGAAAAGCTCAAGGAAGCCTTGCAGGCAATTTCTCTGGCAAATGTAACCCTTTGGAGGATGTATGTTGCCTGGTATTCGCTCAGAGAATCTCACTTAATCTAGTATTGACACTCCAAGAAATCGGGCTCTATATTAGATAGTTAAGGGTGCTTAGCAACAAAACTGGCTTATTCCTTCTTTCATTTAATTGTTTTTCTAGTTTTATGGTTTTTTTAATAAATCAGTGAACTTTGATTAAGCTGTCACATTGTTCCAAAGATTGATGATCACAGTGTTATCTACTCTCTTTGATTTCACAAAGGGGTCATCAGGATAAAAGTTTCGTGACTGCTGAGATCTAGTTCACCAAGGTTAAACTATATACTTGACCCTAGTCCAAGTTATCAGGTGACACTCAACTTAGACCAAGTTCTCAGCATGATGGAGAGATGGATCTTCTCTAGATTCAGGCAGTCTTCCTATCTGGGGAACTCCTAGGATGTCTGAGGAACTCCTGGGTCTCCAGTGCCACCTTCTCGTTTGCTATCTATATTAATAAAACAGATTACCCAATTATGATGGCAAGAGACATCATTTGATATATTTTTTGTAAATGTTTATAACTTATTTTATTTTCTCTTTCAAAATAATGTGAGACCAATTCTCTTAGCCTCACTTTACAGCTATAGAGCCCTCATAGTAAACCAGACATTGTGGTATTCACCTGTAATCCCAGCCCTTGCGAGGCAAAGGCAGAAGGATTCTGCATGTCTTCAGCACCAGGACTTTCCATAGCTCTTCTGGAGTCTGCAGGAAAGCCTTATAAGGTTTACTCAGAAAATAATCTTCATCTCAGAAATGAAGTATTTGAAGAGAAGACAGATGGTGTTCCCTAACATCCGTTAACATGTTCTCATCACTGGTATCCATTAATTCCTTGAGTTATTTAAGTTAGACATTTCTATGGTGGACATTTTCATGGACTGAATTGTGTACCCTCTAAAATTCATATGTTGAAGTTTTAACCCCTATTTACCTCATAATATGATTGTATTTAGAATTAGATGTTTTTAAAAAAGAAATAAAGGTAAAATAAAATCTTAGCCGCTGTAACTGGTACCCTGGTACCTTGATAAGAAGAGACTAAAATACAGACACATGCAGAGACCACATGATGATAAAGAGGAATTTTTGGTATATGAGCCAAGGAGAAAGCTCTAGAAGACACCAACTTGTCACCTTGAACTTAGAATATTTCTAGTTGCCATTGCTAAGCTGATGGCCCCTATTATGGCAGCTCTAGTGAACAAAAACAGAATTCTGTGGCTTCACAAGCAGAACAAAAACTGTGGTACTGTGATCTCAGAAGAACGCCAGAGAGTGCCTGTTCTGGCCTCCCTCTGGCATAGGGGCTGAGAACCCAGGGGACTGCCTGAGAGTGCCCAGATCCTGCCTCCACATGGTGAAAGAGTTATGCAATTTGGGAGTCTTTTAGATAAAAGGCAGAAAATGTCAAAAGTATTTGGGAGCTCTTATCTAATCCTTAAAATATTTTAGGGTTACTTTTCAGAAGGGGGAATGTTAGAGTAGCAAAAAGAAGAAAGAATACATGAAGTTATCAGAAAAAAGTGATCTGAAGGTATGGGAGGAGTTGGAGGGGAAGGAGTGGGCATGGATTTGATCAAAAC